CAGTGTTGCCGTCAGTTGCCGCCACATATTCATTAGTGACATACGTTTTATAAATTCATCGTGTTAGAAATTTGTTGACATAAAGAGATAGAAATTTAAAGTGACGTCTTTTATTACTTCGAATGAAAAAAATCGATAATGCAATTTTCTAACCTAAAAAAAATCGTGATGATATGTCAAACAAAATTGAACTTGGCCTTAACTTGTTGATACCAGGTGCTACTTCTCTTCCTCTTATACATTTTAACTTGAAAAAATCTACTTACGTATTTTAACAGTCCAAAAAAGCACTTACCAACTTCCAACGTTACAGGATATATAACTGGAATTTTCTTCAAAGTAATTTCTAAAAAGTGGATAAATTACAGTAATGTGTAACAAAATTAATATTAATGCTTGTTTACCTTTCCCTGCTCCAAACGAAGCGTCGATGCGTTCTTTTCTGAACTTTAAAACTACACTGAACACTTACACTACGGGTAAATAGAATGAGTTCCATACTCTACCTTTTTTTAATTGTATGCACTAAAGAGAGACGGGAATAGTTCAGAGCAATTATTGTCTGTCAACCGTTGTACGCAATCACAGATTTGGATAGAGGAGATAGGAAAAGGCCGTTTTCCCCGGTGTTTCAAAATAATCACACCATGTAGGCCGCCATGTTGGCAATTTAAGCGTACAACCATAGACATGAAGAGGGGAGATAGGAAAATGGCTGCCCGGGTGGCAAGCAAAAACGTTTACGATAGCGTAAATGCGGGGGAGGATTTGAGTCTGCGCATTAGTTAGAATATTGTGACATTTGACATTTAGTTGTCTTGTGATTGTTGTAATTTTTAGCAATTTTTGTACGATTTTTAAAGTTTTTGTGAGTTTTGGAAAGTTATTTTGATCCCTAAAGACGTCCTAAAGACTTCTATAAACAATGGTTAAAACATGTTTAGTTTTATTCTGTCCAAACCGATGAAATAATTCCGAAGAACTTGTCATAAGTAAGTTTTTAACACCAATACAGACCCGTATTTAACAATTATTTTTGGATGAATCAATTAGGTATTTAATTATTGTTCTAGCCCAGTATCCATACTGGGGTTCTAATAAAAACCTTGTCTAGTTATATATAATTATTCGTTTTTATTTGTCTTTTAGGTTAGAAAAAAAAGGCTTAATGTAATGGAAGCTCCTATAAAGAAAATGTATGCCAAGGAAATATTTCAAAATCGTTCAAGCATTTCTTATTTTGAATTTTAGTCAGTGATAAAACTGTGATTAAAAAGAATGCCACTCCTACTTTATTTTGGCCAAGTAATAAAAAAAAGAACATGTTCCAGAAGCTCATGAACAGAAAATGTCACCAAAGGATGCTAGGTAAGTTTTATTTCTATTTCATTTAAATATAGGTAATACCCTATATGCGTGCTAACACTATTTATAATGAAGCCTTCTTTTTTTTAGTAAACTTTTCAAACCATTTTTTAATAGAATTTTAAGCAGTTCTAATAGTGCTGGCTTTAGAAGATCTACCAAAAGAAATTATTGAAAACTAACCAAAATCATTCATTAATGTGTAAGTTACCAGATTAAATGTGTTTCATAACCAGCATGTAGTTATAAATTATATTTATTAATTTTTATCTGTTTTAGGTTAGATAAAAAGTATTGGAAGATCACACAAAGAAAATTTTAAAATATGTTCGAAGCATTTTGAATTTTAGTCAGTGATAAAACTGTGATTAGAAGGAATGCTACTGCTACTTAATTTTTGCCAAGTAATCAAAAAGAGAACATGCTACAGAAGTTCATGCAAAGGAGGCTAGGTAGGTTTATTTATACTTCATTTAAACATAATGCCTATGCAGTCTATATTATACCACTGTTTTACAGAATTTTAAGCAATTTAGATAGTGGAGATGATCTCCCAATAGAAATTATTGAAAACGAAACAAAAGAATTCATTCTTATGTTTAAGTGACTTGATTGAATGTCATGTACTATTCGTTTCATATGCTTGCATTTGAATATGCACATTTTTTACCTCTGGAGCATTATTATTTGTTTGTTCACATCTACTACATCTGCGTTTGTTTATATTTTCTTTATTTAAAATGATATTTTGAGGATTGTCAAACTTGAAATTTTTTGTTGTTGGATTCGTTCCATGCCAGGTTCAGTTACAGGTTTATCGATTTATCCTTTGTTTATGCTAGCCATATATGCTCATGAATATAAAAGTGATCATTTGTTTGATTTTTGTTAAGTTTTCAAATTTAGATTTTTTCTATAATATAGGTATCGCTAACCATCAGTAACTAGAGAGTAGGTATTTTAATTCAAAAAATAGTTTTAAAGTAAATAATCATAAGAAAAATTACAACGACAACTACTTTTGTTTTCATATTATAATGACTCAAAGGTCAAACACAAAAAGTATAAAACTTGTCATTGTCATTTTTACCACATGGCTAGTAGGTCTAGAGTGTTTCTTTATTACATCTACATTTAACCCTAATCTTCTGTTACGTGATAAAAATTCACATTTCATCAGATGCATCCTATATGATGATAAACAAGCACAGCTATAAGCATGCAAATTTAATAATCTTAAATCTTTCCATGTAAATATCTGGTAAATAGTGATTTTTTTTAATTGCAGAAATACAGTAAAGAAGACAGAAATGCAGATATCTAAACAAACTAAATGTGGTACAGATATCAAAAAAGACAGCAGACATATAAATGATGCAATGTTACACTCGTTCCCTTAGCAAGTTCTACCTGTGTTAAAGAAGAGAAATATGATAAGTATCAATGCTGGAACATTTTTACTGTGTCGTTAATGTTTTCAAATAGGTAGTTTTCTTAGAATTAAATGTCAATAAATGGCATGTAGTTGTTATAATTTGTACACCTAATACTCTTATCAAAATATCTACTTGTAATATGTTGTGTATGTTTTGTATTTCATATACTGCTATAGAATTTTTAAAAGGGAAAGTATACCTTATAATAAGTAGACCAATGTATATTCTAGCTCAATAAAAAAATTTATAAAGCATAATAGTTAAAAAAATGTAATACTTTTCTAATACAAGACGTATTTCTAATCAGGCAATGATCGAGAGTTCTTTCAAAAATAATATAATTAAGTTGTATGTAATTTACTTATTTATACCTTAATATTTTTATATATTTTACAATTACTTTTGACGACTGTAAACAACATATCGAAGGCAACAAGGCTAGACCTCGTAAGTCGCAAAATCAAAATTTTTCAAGAGATCAAAAAAAAAAGATTCACAAGTGCATAGAACAATCCATTTTACTCTATAATGGGACTAAAATTTAACCATATTTTGTTCAAAAATTTTAATACATACTTCATTTATACAGTAGATGGAGTGGAATCTTTTAAACGAGATTATCATAAAATATAATTTTCAGTGGCAATGTTAGTTACGAGGTCCTGCATTGTGGCTCTCGATATGTCCAAAATAAAGAAAAAAAGCCCAATTTAGATAATACAATAAATATTGTACAATTTTAAATAAAAAATCTAACCTTCTATTTTACAGTATCTATAAATTATAATAAAAAATATATATAGATCCTTAGCCAATCAGCCAGTTTTAAATTTAATACAATTCATACAAATAATTATATTTTTATATATTTTGTAATTCTATATTGTAATTGACACCCAGTTGGAAGAACACTTATATATATCTTTCAATATCTAATGATCGTATAATTTTATTAGACTGAACGTAATTTGATGTTCATATCATTAAGACAAATCACATTCTCAAACTCTGTCAAAGTTTGTCGTACCTATAAATTTTAATGAATATTGTTGCAATCGGTTGTTTGTATCTGGGTACAATATACATTTATATTAGTATGTACACATTTTTTTAAATATGTATATATTTATTTTCTGTCTTTGTCAATACGATGTATTTTTCAACAATAAAGCAATTTGAATTAGGAACCTGCGAATATCAGGCAGAGACTCCTGTCACTCGTAGCATCTAAATTTGTGTCGATGTATGTAGTGAAAAGAACGTAAGTTGGAACCATATCGATGCTTTCTGACAGTGGTCTCCCTTTGTTATCTGCATGTTCCTATTAAACTTTGTTAAACTCATTGTAAGATATACCTTCTGTGTTAAAAAGTCCGTACCTGTCTAGTATCCTAAAGATATTTTAATAATAAGTAGTTTTCTTTGAATTAAATGTTATATATTCTTTGTATTTGTTAATGTCCTGAAGATTGTATTTGAACAAAATGTTATTCAATTCTTATAATTTGTACCCCTAATACTATTATTAAAATAACTGCTTGCAATATATGTTTTTTTTCAAGGATTTTCAAATGTTAGGTAATTTTCTTTGAATTAAGTGTCTCATTTATTTTTTAATAACTTTTACACCTGATACTAAACTATTATTGAAATACTTGCAATGTTTGTTAAATATTTTTGTATTCTGTAGCATCTTGCAAGATTTTCAAATAAAAGAAATAGTTCAAATAAGTACCTAGTTTTGTTTTCTTCATTGGTCCCCAGCCTAAACTTAAATTTGCCTTTATTTCCAAGATTAAGTTTTGATAGGTATAATTTAATAAATATTTCACTCGTTGTCTACAATATTCGACTCGATAGTGGAAACGGTAAGCATCTGGTATTCATTTGTGATCAGGAGATAACAATGGTTGTAATTCTATAGCAAAAATGGTTTACTCTCTACAGGAAAGAATCGAAATAATTATCCTTTATGAAGAGGTTGGAAAATGCGCACGAAGGGCAGCATTTAAATGAAAGGCATCCTAATTGTAATGTAAGTCATATTTATACTCTCGATTTGGTAGCAAAATTTTTGGAAACTGGTTCGGTGAAAAATAGGAAAAGAACCGACGAGTACTAAATGAAGAAGCTCTAATTGAGGTTTTGGGAACATTTGTTACCGTGTCAACTAGCTCCATACGAATAGTAGCAGAACAGATGGGAATATCACGCGAGACTGTAAGAAGAGCACTGAAAATGCATAAATTTCATTCCTGTAAAATGCAGTTACTTCAAGAGCTCTACGAAGATGATTTTGATAAAAGAATAGAGTTTTGTAAAACCATGTCTGATCAAGTTAACGCCAACCCCAATCTTCTGCTGAATATCTGTTTCAGTGATGACATTTTATTTTATATTTTTTTCTAAATGACAATGTAATAAACACAAATGTTGGTACTGGAGCAATGAACACCAGGTATATTATTCAAGAAGGGCATACGCAATTATTGGTTCTTTATTTAATGAAGGAAACTTGCCAGGCGATCTGTCCCTTAATATGCTTGCAGATATTATTGATCCTCTTATAAACTCAGGAGCTAGAAACAAACTGATGCAGAAGGTAATTTAGTTTTACAGGAGATGTGTTACATTTCCAGCAGGACGCTGCTACACCTCATTTTTTCTTCTCGTCTGACAGAGATTTCCAGGTCCTTTGATTAACAGAAGGGGAGCAATTGAATGGCCCCCAAGATCACCTGATTTAACTCCTTTAGAATTTTTTCTTTGGTGACACCTTAAATTCGTTGTTTATGAAACACAACCTGCTGATATTGATGATCTTAAAAGGAGAATTACACAAGCATGCCGGTCAATTTCCGGTAAAAGTTTTCCGAAATGTTAGAGAGGAGTTGGGAAACAGACTTTTTACTGTTTACAGTACAATGGACAACATTTTGAAAAGTTTTTAAAATAGTGTACAAGTAGATCTTATGTGTTCTATTTTTAAAATTTCTTGTGCAAATTAAAAGTTATTTATTTTGTAAAAGTCACCTTACCAAAAAAATAAAAAGTTAAACATGTAGACTTGATATTCCTCCTGTTATTTAACTTGATAGAATAATTTTTGTTTAATAAATTAGGGTACCATTGGGAAGATAATTAAACGCCCTTTAAAATGATGTGCCTCTTGACCCCTTTTCCCATTTAAGATTTAAGGGTAACAACTACCCCTCCTAGGAGGTTGAGCCACGATGAGTGTTAAAAGTATTTATTGTAGGTGTCCTCCTTGAAAATAAAATTGACGGGTTTTTGCGATTTTTCACATTATTTAATGGAAGAAAGATATTTAATTTGGGAAGTTTTCGGTGTCACCCTGTATGTATATCACTTGTTACATAAACACTCATAAAGAAAAAAATTAATACAAAAATTTAAAGACTACTCGTTAGATGAATTTATAAATAATTTTTAATATTTCAATCAATTTTTACGTACCTATATGTGAGCATTGTATTTCGTTTATCTATGATATGATGAATGTTTTTTTGAATGCCTATGTTGTATTCAGCTAACCTTATGAAATTTAGTTATTTATTAATATAAAACTAATTTTGTAACCTGTCTCATCTCATCGGAAGATAATCTAAAGAGAATAATATAAATGTATGTATAGTTGCCCCTTAACGCCAACGCAAATAATTAGACGTCCCTGGCCGCACTAGCTATACTTAAATTATCTCAACTAATACACAATCTTGTTTAATTGTGTATTCCTCTTATTAAAAAAGTATTCGTAATTTACATTTAATTATATGTATATTTTTATTGAATTAATAAAAAAAACTGAGTACAATCCTGGAAACACTCAACTGCGCAGACTCTCCGCCTCCCCGGCAGGTTCTCCTTGTGTAAACGTTTTCTGAAATGACAGTTCCTATCTCCCCTCCTCTCATATCTATGCGTACAACGCACATGCGCAGTTGTTGTAGTGTTTTGACAGAAGTGTCATTTATGTCAACTATTCTTGGTTTCTTTCGAAATTCGCTATTTTAGTGAATTTAAAAGAATTTTAGAAGTTTTTACTATAGACAATTAATAAAATGGGAAAGACTTGCTTTGTTTTTGGTTGTTTAAACAACGAGGATTCAGAAAACATTACATTCCACAAGTAAGACATCATTTCTACCAGAACCGTATTCTTCGCCACAGTTTAATTTTCTAGAAAACGAAATATCATAGTACAATAATAACAAACTGTAACTCTAACGTTGATATTACTATAATTTTTTTAGATTGAGGAAAAGGCGTATGCTTCTTGGTTAATAGCTATTGGAAGAAATCATTGGAAAATATAAGTGCAAATAACGCTATTTGTTCCTCCCATTGTCATAAAGATGATTTAATCGTTTCAAAACGAATAGATACAATAAAAAAATAATGCAATACCTTCCATAAATATGCCTAAAATTGAAGATTTTTATAAAATTAGTGTTATGAGGTAAATATATACATAAAATTTTCAATTTGTTTCTTTTTATACTTTTTAAGAAAGTGATAAAAAATTGTTAATTATCCCTATTATTTTTAGAAATTTACAACCTTCAGCTTGAACGAATATTATTAATTCAGAATCTAACGAGGAATTATAGAAGTTGCCAGTTGGTTATTTTTTATTAACGGTTTAGATGGTAATGAAAGAAGAAATGTGGCGTTATAGGCTCTTCTAAAATTGCATGAATATGGAGTTATCATCACCTAATTATCATTTGATGGATAACATTAGGTGTAAACCTATACAACTTTGATATTGACACTGCGACTCCATATTTCTTGCATTCACCATAGATAAAAGTACATTTTTTATAATTTTAGATGCATGTCACATACTTAAGTTGGCTTGGAATAACTGGGATAACCTTACTAAAATTGTCGAAACTAATGGCGAAATTATTGATTTTAATTATATAAAATTGTTGCATTATATTTAACAAAAGAAGGTTTACGTTTGGGTAGCAAATTAAGAGTGCCCCATATGGATTGGAGAAAGACATGAAGGTTTGTACACTTAAACGAATTTAGAAATTACAAATACTAAGTAACATTACTATTAATTGTATAAGGAAATTTGAGAAACTGTTCTATTTACTAAATTCTCGAAATCTTTTTAGATTTCAATGGAAAATGCCTTTGTCTCAAAAAACGGAGACTATATGGATGTCTGAAATATAAGCTGCAACAGAATGTATAAAGAAACTTAAAACCTTTGACAGCAGTTATGTTATTCAGTGACTGAAGAAGAATAGTGGTGTTCTAGACTTTGTTTTATAAAGTTTGTAATAGGTTTATATGACAAATATGTAAACTGTTAATATATAAACTTAGTACAGATCACTTAGAGCTATTTTTCTGCAGTATATGGAATAGTATTAGTTTAATTGTATGATGCAATTACATTTTATTTCTAGGGCTAGGTATGGATGGAACAATAATCCTTTATCTGTAAAAAAATTCCATTCATATAGACTACGATTACTTCTGTACCATGACATTAAGAATCTTAATGGCTATTGTATTCTTTAGGACCTCATCAACATTTTACAAATGACACTTAAAAGTACAACAACAGTGCTTATAGTTTATTACTACTCTTACTAAATATAACTGAGAGAAACTTCAGAAGATTCAAAATTCTTGTATAAGATGTACTTGTAATATTCCTTATAGAAATCATGTTTCTCCTTACATTCGCAGGTTAAATAAATATAAAATTTAGGAAAGCGTAAAATATCTTTTTTTAATGTTTAAAATTCCACGATATCTTACTAAAAAGATCAACTTTACACAATGTAAATTTAAGAGTGAACACTTTTACAACCCCAATGCATAGAACTTCAAAATTCCAAGGTTGTTTTAGATACGTATAGCACCATTATTGTTAAATTCAGAACTTAATAATTTGAATTTTAATCATTTTGTTAAGACTATTAGGCAAGTTCTTATTTCAAGACAATGATTTAATTTAAAATAATTATTTTGTGAACATTTTTTCTGTTATAATGAGGATCAATTGAAAAACGGCTCAGCCGAATTCATTCATTTTGAGACACTAATGTATTTATAGTTGCTCAATAAACATTATTTATTTATTTATTTAAATATAGTCAAAAAATGTACGGTATCTTAAGCCGACGCATCAGGCGCAATAAAGATGAGACGCTTAATTGTATTTGGATGTGAGAGCGATAAAGATAGTAATTGATTTTACCATACCCTTTCGATGGCAAGCATGGGCTGTTGCGGTCCACACTCATTCGTATTATTTTATTTCTCTCTATTCAATGGCATTGTGTTCCATACCTTTTTCCTGGAGCCAGGATGGAAAAGTTAAATTATTGTATTATACAGAATGTAATTAAGTTGTTAGATATTTCAGAAAACATTGTTTATATTGCAAAAAAAAATAATAAAATATTCTGCTGGCCAAGATACACTTTCTAGCGCAACAGCTAATAAAAATTATTGAAAATTATTTTTTAGGACAAAATAGGGTAATATAAAACAGTTTCAGCTCTAAGTACTAGTGTAAAACTGTCGAATTATCTTAAAAAAAAGTATTTTTAATCACATAATCAATTACCTGCTAAAAAATGTTCATTTTCAATTAGTTTAAAATAAAAACTTGTTTCGAGAAATCAATAATTATAATTATCTAAAGAGTATCTACCCTTATAGGAAAATCACATATCAAGATTAATAAAAACATTAAAGACATTGTTCAAACCCCAATGAAAATTTAAAAAACTAAATTTGTATTTTTTGTTCCTCATTAACTTTTATTAAATAGCTTTTTTTTATTTATAATTTATTAGTGCCATTTTCTAATGTAATATAATTGTTTTATGTTTAATAACCCAATATTAACATATATTTACTGTAGTATTTATTACACAAGATAAAAAAAAGTAAAACCCTTTGCACTTGGCAAAATCGAAGCTTTGTTACTACTTATTCTCTCACAACCTCCGTCTATGTAAGCGGGTGAATTTACCGCCTTTTCAGATTCCTTTAGTGACCGAAATCGAGAATGTCTATTTCTTGCTGATGAGTCCTAATAAGGACAAAACTGGTCCAAGAATAACGTTATCTATGGTAAGCAAGAACAAAGTTTGAATATTGAAATATGAATTTTTTAACTTTGTTGTTTTCTTTGGATACAATTCAATGTCTGCTGCGGAATTAGCCAAAGAAGTAGTTGTTTTTTGAAGGAAAACGTTAAAGTTTGGATTTATTTCCCTTTTTTAATAAAATATTTGACTACATGCATGCTTCTTATAATACCTAGTTTTAAATTTACTCTATTCATTAGTAGGAATATGCCCATAATCTCTTATTTATTTTGATTAATGATTCTTAATGTATGCTCAAGT